TAAATCAGGGCTGTTGAACATTAGTATTGGTACTGGGAAGATATTTGTAAAAAAGGAAATTAAAAAAGTATTTTTTGTTAGCACGTGCGGCGTGTTTGAGTTATTTCCCCCTCCCCCTTTTCTCTTGTTAATAATGTAATGGCCCGTGTGTGTTTGGAAGACCTTAAAAGGAAATATGAATAGATTTAAAATGTGTTTATGTTTCGTAACGCAAGCATTGATTCTTGTTTTATTGGTAAATTAGTCAGTGTTTTAAAAGTTTTAAATACATAAACAGTAATTTTTTTTACATTAATTGTGAATTTTTTTTTTTTAAAAACATAAACATTAATTAATTTTTGTTTTAAATTCATTTAATTTTTTTTGTTGTGTGAAATTTTGTTATAAAATAGTTATTTTTTTTAAAAAACATAAACATTAATTAATTATTTTTTTAAAATTCATTTATTTTTTTTGTTGTGTGAAAATTTTGTTTTAAAAGAAAAAAAAATCAATAATATTTTTTCCGAAACCTCGGATAAAAGAAAGGCAATATATATCTTTGATCAAGAGTCTCCTCATAGTTCCAACGGATAGTATTGAAACATTATTTAACCATCTATCCATAAATATTTCCCCACATCCGCGAGATGGAGACTACCTCAAGGCTTGTTGATCTTGGAGACTTTTATCTCCAGGTTACGTTGATTAGAAAAAAACAATGGCATGATCTTGGGCCCAAGACCCACCGATAAAAACCAACTACCTGACCCAGGAGTTCGTCGGAAAAGATGTTACAATTTCCAAGGCGAGGGGCACCTCCGTCACCAATGTTCCAGACCCCTAAGGGAGACCCGGGTATCTTTGGAGACAGTTTCCGACAACGCATGGCGGGGAGCAAACGACGGAAAAAACGAGCAAATCGCGAGATAGGACCGGTGGCGACTTCGGTTCCTCAAGGACTCATAGCCAGCATGGGCAGACCTCTGCAGAATGTTCAAGACTGTGACGTGTCGATACCTCTCGAAAGAGGATCTGGAGTTTCAGTTGGGGGCGATGTATTGCAACGAGCGGTGTGTTATTTACCATTATTGTTATTTTTCGTGTATATCTTGTATTGGAAAGTTGTAATCCAAATTTCTTCAAGATAATCTTATACTTTGTTTTACTACATCCTGCGATTATGGTTGGCCAACTAAGATCTCAACAAAATCAACCACAGGATGGGGCGCCTAGTCAGCCCCCACCGAATTTGCTTACGCCAGATAATTCGGTTAACCTCCCAGCAGATGGTGCTGCAGCAATCACCTTAGCGATCCAACAAATTTCCCAACAAATGGAAACAATGTCGACCCGAATGCTAAATTTAGAAACAAGCAGAAGAGGACGATCGCCATCCGCCAGGAGCAATTATACGTCAACGCCGTTTCTGGACCAAATATCCAGACGAAGCAGACCGCCATCGCCAGCCCCTCTGCCAGCAGCCAGAGCTCCACTAACCGTCGAAGAAAAAGTGGCCAAACTCGCAAGGGTATGGACAGGCGTATCTACGGACCTCCTCGAACCAAGATGCAAGGCTAGCGAAAGAGACCGCCACGAACTCAAACATTTGAAGGAAGTTGTGGATTTAATCTCAGCCAACACAGAACCAGGCATCATAGACGCGATAACCAGAAGGGTTCGTATCTTAGGACTAGCAATACACTGGGGTTGGGACACAGCCCGCCTCAACGATACGTCCTACCAGGATAAATTCCTGGACTCCGAGGAAATGAGGAAATTAAATTAGCCAAGGAGCCCTTTCGAAGCAGGGGCCGTGCAGGCCCCTCTACGACTTACCGGCGGCGCCCGGAAAAAAAGGAAGCGCCCACCACCAGGGGTAAGAAAAGAAAGTAGAAACGCAAACGCCTCAAACGATAACCTTTTTCTCACTTCTACGCTATCAACTTTAACCCCCAATACCCAAAGGCCCTTATTAGGGCCACCCAACAGCCCTTTTTAGGGCTACCACCGTATGAACCAACGGGGATCATATGCCCGGACAACGGATCACCGGTCCGAAGAGGAGACGCAGCGCAATTTCCAGATTGGCTAAAAAGGGTAAATCTTTACCTAAGGGAATTGAGGCATCAGCTGTTCTCTCCTGATGAAGGTATTAGCTCGGATGACGAAAATAACAATAACAATATTCAACCCCCGTCGACTCCCGAGCCAATACCAGCCAATCAACCTGCTAGATCGGACTCCGACATTCCATCGTTCCGCTCTGAAGATTCAGGAATCCCCGAATGGTGGTTACCCAACACATCAACCATGACCTGGGAATCTAGCAGTAGTGGCGACCCCGAAGCCACGTCCTTCATTTCCGAAACGCAATCTTCAGCGATGGAGGTGATTCTGGTATGCCCCAGGTAGGGTCAACAGCAATTCCCAACTTACCAGGTATCCTGAATGGAATAGCTGGGGTGAATTCGCATGCGACTTTTACGGACGAACAGCTGAGGAACAGCCCACAACTTGACATCAGCAGGGCAAGGCTGACTCCCGGTCCTCTAATGTCAAATTTCACGAGACGCGTAGCCGCCCGTGGTTTCAGACCCAGACTGGACACCCTTAGAATAAACAACAACGAGAGTCATTACTTCACACATAGGAACAACCACGCCATCTCTGAACGATACTACGGAATCGTACAACAGATGATAGCCGCCGATATCGTTATAGAGACGGATAGCAACCAGATCTGCTCGCCCCTATACGTTATCCCTAAAGCAAACGGCACGCCAAGAGTCATTAGCGACTTCTCCGAGACATCAAAGAACTTTTTACACTACCCATTCAAGCTAAAGTCCATTCCTTTGATGTCCATAAAGCTAAACGAAGCCAAGTATGCATGTAAAATAGATATCAAATCCGCATTCTTCTCGATCCCACTGGCAGAGCAAGTACGAGAGTTCTTTGGCTTCAAAATACATGTAACATACTATGCATACAAAGTCCTTCCAATGGGTGCGTCATTCAGCCCTTACTGTCTACAGTTTATTATTCTAGATGCATGCTCAAAAACGGTACGACGACCAACTACAATGTTTATTTAGATGACATACTGATATATGGAGACAGTGAAAATGACGTAAAATGGTCTCACTAGATCACTCAGATGCACCCTTAAAGGCTGGGGCCTCGAAATCTCCCAGGAAAAGTCAGTACTAGACCCCACACCGTTCATAACATACCTGGGGGTCCCAATAAACCTAGACAATAAAACTCTCAATGCAGATAATACGACGCGAAGAAGACTAGTACGATGCCTATCAATATTCAGAAGACATTCATATCAGCATCTGGAAATAGGCAGAATTCTGGCAGCAAAAGTACTAGGAGTCGTCAACCACTTCGCGTATACCATCACCGGTATGTCGAGGCTCTTTTCCCCCTACTAAATTACCATAATGGAAGGACAACTAGCCCCATTAGTCGACACGTATTTAGCATTCAGAAAAGCCGAAGCAATCATCACGGCACTAAAATACCCCTTACAAATACGTAACGCTGCCACCTACCCTGTATACACCGACGCCTCCGACTCACATATTGGTATATCGTTCTGGGGTTACCAAGACATGTCTATCTCATATACAGAAGCCGCCCTCCTCCTCAATGTACCAATGCACGCAATACAACACATTAACGCTAAGGAGGTTTTAGCAGTAGGTGTAGGTACGCTACTAGCAATAAATAAAGATAAACAAGTACCTATCATTTTCACGGACTCCACGGTAGCATACTACACCCTACGTAAAGGAGGATCCAGATCACCATCCTTGGAAATAGTAATCACTAGTATTCTGTTCAAATTAGGATTACTCGACTTTACGGCATTATCACAAAATATTTGATGGATCCCTACAGACGAAAATCCTGCCGACAAACCATCAAGGACCTGGATGGGAGATACTGCCCACCGCAACCTCTTCGAAGGGCCACCACTTACGGGACCGATAATGCTGCAAGATTTAGAAACTTCCCTATTCGGCAATGACTCAACTATAGAAACGCCGTCACTAATATCAAACCTATCAATAGGGTCAACAACGATTACCTGCGAGCTAGAACAATTGAGCATTCGAAGCTCGGAACTATAACAAGGCAACAACCTCAAATCAAAACTAAAGAAACAATAATTAACACAATTAGAACGATTCATCCGTGCATATTTATTTGTATAAATATATTATTATTAGTGTTATTTACCATTATTGTTATTTTTCGTATATATCTTGTATTGGAAAGTTGTAATCCAAATTTCTTCAAGATAATCTTATACTTTGTTTTGATTTAAGAATAAAAGCCTGGGGATGCTTAAGCCATAAAGGCCAAGGCATCCGACTGTATCCACATTCCCTATAGGGGAAATGTTATCAGGATACAGTTTAGGATTCATTGGGAAAAGAGTAAAGGGGTTGGGGGTCTGGGAGTTATATCACTGATATCCAGTATTCATGATTTTGTGACAACAGGTTTCAAAATTTTTTAAAATTAAAATGGAAATCAAATTTTATATCAGAAAAAAAACAGGCATAACAAAATAAAATCGCTGTAAAATTCAAAATTATTCTTTTTCAATATTTTTTAACTTTTGATTTGAAGTTTTAGTGTTCTGATAACATATTTTTTATCCCATTATATAAATTAAAAAAATTTTTTTTTTAAAGCCAATCAATGCCTTAAGAAGTGTGGAAGGGTTTAAAACCGTTTACTTTTAATATTAACTTAATTTTACATTTTAACCCTCGAGAGTCAAACACTTCTATCATGAGAGGGGGTATGACGAAAGGTCGCCTTTGTCTATCGAGTAAAATGTGAGGGAGGTAGGGGTAATAAATGTATAGAGGGGTAGAGGGGTATGGCAAAAAATATTACATTGATACCCAAAGTTTTGAACGCATATTCTAAAATCTTAAGTTTTATTCATTGAAAGTTTCTTTTATAAACCCCAATAAAATAAATATATATCTCAACATTCCATTTTAATAATCAGAGCCTATAAATAAATTTAATAAGTATAATAATTTTATTTAAAAAATATCGATAAAAAAAATGATTAGAATATTTTTTAAAAAAATGAAAGAAGTACAAAAATAAAATTTTTTTTAAAAAAAAGTAAAAAGAAAGATAATAATAAAAAAAAATAAGATAAGAAGAAAAGTTATAATAAAAAAAATTCATTAACAAGTTTTTCCTTCATTTTTAATAAAAAATCACGAATGTAAAATTGAACGCAGATAAATTATCCAAGCACAATATTTATATAACGGTCGGAATGATCTTGGGGGGGGGGGGTATTCTATTTCCGCTTAAGAAGAAAAAAATGAAACTGAGATATTAACTATTTACAAAAAAAATTTTAAAAAAAATGGATCTTTAATTTGTATATCTAAATTTCTTCGAAGAGAATCCATAAGTTTTAAATAAAAGATAAATTCTCAACTATACATCATTTTTTATCATATCGAATATTATTGTTGAACGAGGGTACGGTTGTTATCACTCTGTATAACCGTATGTCTTCGCTTTCGTCGAAATACACCGGATCATCTCCTTTACTCCCTCTTTTCCTGTTTTTTTTCTCGTCGTGACTTTTGCTTCCGGATTCACTATTCGTTACGAAATGAGAAGATAAAGAAAGCGAACTTTTTTTGGACGAATTTTTATTACCATAACTTTTTTCGAATTCGTTACGACTATCATCGGCATAATCGTAGAATTCTCCGAAATCAGAACCCTCGTTATCAAGAAAAAATTTGTCAGATTCATTGAGGTGTAATTCCGTTTGCGAGATAGGCAATGTTTCGTGGGAGTTATCTTGATATTTTTTGAAGAAAAAAATTATAAATATTTACGAAAAACAAGAAATAGATTCATGATTATTCAGAATAAGCCATTTAAATTTTAATGACAAGTCAGAACATTAGTAATGATATATGAAGTTAGTCCATTTGCCAAACAAAGACCAAAGTTTAATAAAATGCAAAAGGACCCATTTTTTTAATATATTTTAAAGGAATCACGTGGTCGAGTCTGATTCTATATATCAACCCCACAAGGAGAGAACCACCTAGTTGACTTCAAAAAACACATAGTCCGTGCTGGATTCGAACTCAGAACTAATTCCCAAACGGGATCTAAATTTATTCAAAGATGATCGGTACATAACTAAACGAATGTTTTAAAATTTTAAACTAAGAACCGAGATGAAACTGAAGTGCAATACATAACGTTTCGACCCCCTGCAAGAAATAGTTTATGATTAATATAGCAATTTAAAATATCGGTTATAACTCACACCCATGAATACCGTGTTATTTATTTTTCAACGAATGCTCTTAATGGTTAAATCCCAATTTCTTGGAACCTTTTTATTTATTTAAGTATATACATATATATATCTCGAATTATATAATTTTATTTGTGATCGTTTAAAAATATAAATGCATAAACTGATCTCCTTTTTTTAATTAGTGTCTTTTATAAAAGAGTATGTATATATCCCACATTACTGTTCATGCCTGGGACTGTTAGCACGGTATGTTTAGGAGCGATTTCGGGATGTGAAGAGATAGGATTTGGAGAGGAGTAATGGTTAGTTGTAGTTTGATTATCTGTCATTGAGGCGTTATTAATTAATAACGAGGATTTGTAAGGCCTAAAGTTGTGGCTCATTTGCCTTACCTAAAATTTATTTTATATTAAAGATAATTTCAAAAATAAATAAGAATTATTATGTTTTGATTTATAAATTTTAAAAATTAATTGATAAATGAATGATAAAAAATAATATTATTTTTTTTCTCATCATAAGAGTATCCAGGATTTTACTAAAGGGGAGAGGAGGGATATTTTTTGGTTTCTGTACTCCATATATTTTATTGGCATGTTTAATACCTACTTTTTAATGCCATTTTTCAATTTATATATTTTAAAATAATTTAGGTATTAATTTATATATTTTAAAATGTTTTTTACTTCTAAAGAAGTCGTTATTTTTTCCCCGGCTATTGGTCATTTATTTTAAATTTTCAATAAAACCAAGAATTGTAAGATAAATAAAATCGTAACACAAGATGAGTGAAAAAATAATTATAATTAAAAATCTAGTTGTGGGGGGATGACCCTAATACTGAAAAAGTTTCTCCTCAATATTTTAATGGCTATCATCTAGCGAAGATAGAACTCCTCTGCTGGGTCATCAGCTTTGGCAGAAAACTTTCCTACGTCTTTAATAAAAAACAAGGACAAAATTATCGAATGTAGTGAGAGTGGAATAGTGAGAGTGGAAGTTACAATCGGAAAGAATATGTAATCGCTATGAATGACAACAAAATTAGCATATTTGCTGTTTCAATAGCTGACAATGTGTCACGGTCTATATTGGAAACAGAAAATATATCGGCGCAAGTAAACATCTATAAAAGGAACAAACCTTATTTGCATGAAATTTTGGTGATCTTGACTTGGTGGCGAATATTATTAAATAGACCTAATGGTTCACCAGACCAATGTACACCGGCTGAATAAGAGTTCTCTTGGTGAGCTGTGGTTAGATTGTCCATGGCTATAATTGCAATAAAGATAGTTCCATATTTAGTAGGTCAGAAAAGCGCAAGGTATAGAGTCACGGCAAAGCTAAATTCCTGGTTATTTAGCCTATTCCTAGATAGTTTCCAGAAATTTGTATCCAAATTCTTAGTCTTGACAACCACCAAGTTGTCTAGCCTTTTCTTAGAAGTAAATAAGGCAGAGTTTTTAGCAACTAACTCTTTCCAGATATTTAAGCTCATCCAACAATGTATGAGCGGGAAGTGCGGATGAGTCTTTTGGTCCGAACTAAGAGGTATTGAAATTACTGATAAGACCTTGGTGGAGAAACTAAAATGAAGATTCTAGATTTTTTCCAAAAATCTTTTTTTCACGTGACCTTTAATGTGATCAAACATTGTTGATAAAAGGACACATTGAATCTTGTGAATGTTGAAAAGGGGAGAAGGAAGAAAGCCTTGTAAGCTAGAAAATAGAGAGCAGTTCTTACACAAGGACATAGCTATTGGAGACATGGTCAAATAAGAAACAGACAGATTTTTCACCTCCAAAGAGAGCTTAGATATATGAAAGCATCTGTAGCCACGTCCATGAAACTGGACGAGTTGTGCGAAATATCAATTAATTTAAACCCCATTCCGACGTTAAGTTTGAGACCAATGAACCCTTCGTTATCATGAATGTGCATTGATTTTTTTTACCTCAAGAAAACTATCACATATGAGATCATCCTCTGTGTAAAAGAATCAAGATCTAGAGCACACTCTTTTCTAATAGTTGGTTGCAATCCTAGATAAAATAGAATGGTTCAAATAGGGTCTTGGTTGAATGCCTGGAATGTGCAAAGTGTGGAGCAAGAAGGGTTGAACATAATAATATAGTAAAAACCTGAGAAACTCTGAGATAAAAGTTTATATAAAATGTGATCATAATAATTTTTTGTAATATATGGTAAGGTTTATTCAAATTATACCTATATTTTTAAAAAATATTGTTCATAATCATATTATATGTAAACAATTTTTGGAAAAATGGTGCCATGAGAGTGTATGTCTAGGGGGGGGGGGTAATCTATAATAGCTTAAATGATATTTATAAAAAGTGTAAAATTTGCAAAGGAAAGGGGAATCACCCCCCCCCCCACTCTCAACATTGATTGCGACAATTGTTCGATAATTCAAGAAAACGTATAATTTGGCTATTATTATCCTGAATTATAATTTCAGATACGGGCAATCAATTTGGGTATTGCTATAATACAAAAGGTCGTGAGAATCTGAAAAATATTTCCATTTGATATGTGCAAAATGGAGTTGTAATGATATTCGGAATAAAGATAGGTTGTATGTCCTCAACATTTTGCGAAGAGTTCTTCTAAAGATAACCTTTTTGTCCTCATTAGAAGTGAATTCAGATGGTTGTAAATGTTTGTGACAAGGTTAACAATGGAATGTTTTACTTGTAGTTAGTTGTTAGAAAGTTTCATAATCAAATGAGATCAAGGCATAAAAAAATATGATAGACGAAGTGTGCCTTTGATATTGAGATTGTCTATCTTCCTGGGGATAATCCTATAAGTCAGAGGGAGAGAGGAATCTTGGGGTTGGCCGATTAAGGCGTTTTTTACTTGTTGGGTTAAGGAGAGTTTAAGAATTTGTCAGGAATCTTTAAAGCCTTAAGGTGAAATAGTAAAAAGGTCTGCCAAATGTTCAACAAAATCAATGTTTTAAGAAACCCTCAATATTATTTGAGGTGGGGATGTTTAAAAAACACTGTTTGAAAAGTTGTCATTGGTGATGTCTAAAAAAGGAGGAATATTTCTGGGTGGGTAGGTAAATTTAAAGAGGAAATAAGGATTGGGAGGAAAGTCTTACTGAGAAATCCTCTAGATAACTCACAAAGATTGACAACTGGGCCATGGGTAACAAAATAGTTTACATGTATATTGGAAAATTTTTTAAAAAAAATTATTGCTTATTAATATATGGAGGATAGAAGGGCTGAGTGAGATAATTTTTATTAGTTTGGATGATATTTACGAGGGCCTGAAAATTTATCAGGTCTCATCTCGGCTATTTCGATGTTCTCCCAATTTAAATTTATGGCATATTGATAATTCTACAATAGTTCACCCATCAAATTTCTTTTTAAAACTTCCTGCACTTAGATTGATTGATTATTGTTAAGAGTATATTTGCGACCTCTATTTGATGATGCATTCAAGGTAAAAAAAAATTGGTTTGATTTAAAAATTATATTCCTAGAAAATGTTTAAAGTATCGATACGAGAAATAGTTTTAAAAATTCAGTATATACATTTATGTTAACTTTATGACTAAGTGGGTTTAAGGGAGGGCTTAGACTGGATATATGATCGCTTTTCTTAAGATTGTTATCCCTCGATTTCTTTTTGCAGCAGTTTGATATGAGAAGCGACGAAAAGGGAGGATTTATCATAGGATTCTTGGAATACCACGTTGGCTTTTTGATTTGAACTTTAGGTATATTTTGATGCATCAATTGCTGTCTTTGTAGGTAATTAGGAAAAGGTGATCTATTATTCGCACCTTTTGTCAATATATTATTTATGTAATAGATGGTTGGTGTAGGTATATTAAATTTATATGGTTATCATTCAACAATATATTCTTTATCTCTTAAAAAGAAATATATTTTGGGTAGGTGTTATTTTCTTTTTGCTAATTTTACAGAATTAAAAAGACATATACTTATAAAGTTTAGATACTATAGAGACAATAATTAAACTATATTTTAAAAATAATAATATAAATAAGCTAAATAATGACCTCAATAAAAGATACTATATTATTAAAACAAACTAGGAGAAATTGAAGATCTTAAAGTGGCATCTGTCGATCCTCTAGATGTTTGAGAACCTTTTAAAAGTGGATGAGATGGAGAATAATGTGATATCCTACGAAATTTATTAGATCCTATGAGGTTATCCGATGATGGAGGTTGAACGTCCAAAAATTCAATATCCTTAGATTTCAAAATAAGTTTTATTAATATCATTATGAGATGTAAACAGTATAAATGTTAATAGATTCTTTATGGGTTGAACGAAAAATTAATATTTTATATATTAATACCCCTCCCCTCGTTGATAAAAAAATTCGTCAAAAACTATAAGACACAATGCGAATCTCGAAACATTATCATGTCGGCTAAATCTGCAGATTGCGGTTTAATATTTTATCCAACAGTCATTATATTATAAATTTTAAGGACATCATGCAAATCACACTTACCAATGTGTTTCAATTTTTTTTTGAAAATGTCAAAATCAAAAGCACTAATAATAGACCAGACGTCATCACTTTAACTTTTGTCAAATGACCTCTCACAGTCATGTGAAAACACTTTCGTAGTCTTCTCTTCTGATCACACACACAGCAGAGAAACTAGAAAAAACATATTAATCTCCTTAATATTTAATTTTATCCCGCTCGTAACTAACAAAAGTATTTAGTGACAAGGCTTACGCTCGTCAAGAAGCTATGTGAAATACATCCTTAGGAACTCTGATAATCAATTGTTTACATCCGTAAAGAAACATATCTCTCATATGTCGTTCCATTTCTTTGAGTAACCACTTTTTACTAAGAATAAAATATAGTTTTCACCCATTTTTAATTTATACATGCATTTATACTTATCATATATTGATAAAAAAAATTTACATAATTTTGTTTTATATTAAACTCTTGTAGCTTTATAATTCTCAGAGGTCTGTAGGCCCGGATTGGATGATATGATTCAGAAAATTCGGCCAAATATCTGGACGAGATCATATTTTGGTAATTTAAATGTCTAAAAAAATTTGATTTCTTTAGGTCTCTCTTCTATAAGAATAGATCCTATATAATAATAAATAAATAAATAAATTATTATATAAAAAATGAAACATTTCTAGCACTTTATTCTGTGTCCTAATTCGACTGGCTTATTTATACTTATTGTTGTTTAGTAGCTTAGCATAGGCTAAACAGCTTTTGAAATAGAACACCATATTTTAGTTTTTTAGATGCTTCGTGGCTTTATTATTTTTCATATTTTTTTATCGTTTTTTTGTTTTGAAAATAAATTATCTAAAATATCGGCCTATGATGCAATAATTTCTTAACTAAATGTATATAATAGAAATTCAACATGCATAATTGCATAACAAAGGTAATCTATCATTGCAAATTGTTGATAGAGGGTAATTCTTGACTCCCATTCATTATTTTCTAAAACTTCAAAAAAATATAGCAATTAAAGGTGTCTGCTTTCTTGATCTTTTGAATAATGTTGCATTATATATAATTTAGCTGTCTATCAATCTCCCATGATATCCTTAAAATTTATGTCGAACTGCAATTTGAATAAGAAATAGTAGAGGTTGTTACATTTTCACGGAATCGTAAATAGAGAGCTATCGTAGAGTGTCTATATAAGGGATAAAGATGATATTCTTGTTTAATTCCTCGAAGAAAAAAAATGTGTAATTTACATTTTTTTCTCCTTCCTCATGCGCAAATTGCTTTCCTTGCAGGAATAATTCATTAAAGATATTTGGTCCATCACACTAAGAAGGTATAAAAAGTGGGCGTGCTTATTGTTCTTGCCATTGCATGTACCGTTTATTTTTTTTGCGGCTATTTATGATAAACTCAAATATTTATAATTGATTGCGAAAATATGCCTTAACTAGAATTTTGCTTAAAAAGGAGCATTAGGGGGGCCACAATTTTTAAAAACATTGGGTATTTCAATCATACTCATTTTCTAATCATTTTTACTTAAGATAATAAAACCAGGTTATTAATTACTAAAATGAGGTTCCTGAATAAGTAGCTTAGAATAGAATTTAAGTAATATTTAATATATTACAGCAAAATATAAATAATTTGTAATAAATGACAAAGCTAAAAAATATTGAACCATAATTTTATGTAATATTTTTACTCTTTTAACCTAGAATTCATTTTTTAATTTTGAAAAGAGTTATAAAATACCAAAAATAACAATGCATAAAAAAATTTCTGTGGGATGGTGAGGGGGGTGGGGTAAAATTTTTGGTAGAGGATCTCTCCTCAAATTCCCATTGAGCCACATTGGATTAATATTTAACTCGCTCACTCGCTCATAGTGTTTTTTTTAAATTCACCCGCCCATCTCCTACCCTCTTTTAAAAGTATTTTTAACACCCTCACCCGCCCATGTTTACAATCTTTTACAATGCCAGACCATTCCTGCTCGTAATGGTCGGGCATGGGCCGGCGGGTTAAAATCCGTGACCTCTAGTTATAGCCCTGGTAAAATGATATGGTTTTATATTTCCTCATCTATCACTCAACCAGATTATATTTGAACTGGATGTTTTTTCCAAGAATTATCTTTACAAGTTTGCGCAGTCTCATGCCTAATAACGTTTCTAAATTCAGCCATTTTAATGATATTATTAACGTTTAAGTTAAGTCTAAATCTTTTTATTATAACTAGCACAATAACATATAAATATCTAAAAACATATATAATATGTAAATTTAATTTCAATTAGAGGGGAAAAAAACTTTCAAATAACTTAAAAATTCTTACATAAAAATTATCTAAAAAGATGAAAAGCTTTTCCAAAAATGGGTAAGTATCCCCACCTACCCATCCCCCCAGACGTCGATAGATATAATATAATCATTTTGTTAACACCGATAAGTGATTAATACATATTTAGTTTCAAATTTATTTGCCGAAAATGGTCATAATTTTTCATATTTGTGTTGATATTTTTATTTTTTAACAAAATTTATGGTTTTTTTAAAAAAAAAACCATTAAATAAAGAGAAGCTTAGTCAAAATAAATTTATTTAAGCTATAAAAGTGTATAATATTTTTTCATCCAAAATATAAAAAAAATAGTGGTAAAAAAAAATATGATGATATTTTTATATCATCATATTTTATTATATAATTTGGTTTGATTTTTAAACTGGAGGCAGAGGTTATTTGCATTGAATTGTATGCATATCAGAGACCTGCAGGCCCGAAAGCCCGGCCACAAGGGCCAGGCGGTATGTTAATTTTATATATATATACCTTTTTTTAATACCCGGTATCGTATATTTTAAATCGCGATTAATATCTATAAAAATTAAAAATATAAAATATATTTTTAAAAAATCCGGGAAGCCTTGCAATTTGCAGGTTTCTGTATTATATATATTATACAATAATAAGTGGTCCTCATATTATAGCAATCTGGTTGAGATTCATCTAATTATCAAATTTTGACATGCCCTCCCTCTAGTTTAATCTCTGCTGAGGGGAATAAATTTAAGAAGATTCCTAGCTAAGTTTAAAGGATTTACTAATCATAATTGAATTTGAAATGGGAATTAATTTAGTTAAAAATAATATCAAAAATAAGCCTTAAAGCAGTGGAGGTTAGATTTGTAAAAAAAAGTATCTAGCGATTTTATCAAATATTATGATTAGATCCAATATCCATATCGATACATTCATTTAAATGCTGTCTAAAATGGATCATATAAAACCGTTAATTGGAAGCAAACTTAAAATAATTATAAAAATAATTACCTATTTGAATGGATTTTTCAGTAATTGCAAGATATGTTATAACAACTTGCCTTTCCTATTATTATAAAATTTAGAAGATAGCCCGTTAAATGATCAGAAATTTCTCATTTAAAAAAAATGAAAAATACAGAATCAAAGGCAGCGTTTCTATGTTACAGATATTTATTATCCTTTTTTATTGTAGATAAGATAAAACATTGAATTACTAAGTTTATAAATTTTATTCAAAAACTTTCCCAGATTTTTATTAATATTTAAATGTTTTGGTATTAACTTATTAACAATTTTTAAAATGGAAAATTTCAAGAAAAAGGATTTGAAAGAAGAAACTCAAAAATAAATAATATATTGTATTTTTAAGATCATATGCTTAAATACAAATATTTGAAGAATGAAAGAAAACATCGTCTGCCTTTTAAAATGGAAGAAAACAAGAATATTTTAAACATATTTTTAGCTTTAGAAATGTTATGACTTTATAAACCCGGATTATTCATAATTCAAGACAATATTATTCTTTTATTGTTCAAAAATTGTAATGGAAAGTAATGCAATTGAAAATCTGCAGTACAATTTTAAAACTAACATTCATTGAAGTCCTAGATAAGGAGTATGGATATAAAGATATAAAGATATAATATTGATAATCAGTTATATATTAAATTGTGTTGAAGCAAATAAAGTTTGCATCCTAATTATCATGACAGAATATTTGCAAATATGAAAAACAAACAAATTATATATCAAAAAATGGCAATGACAGAATATTTGCAAATATGAAAAACAAACAAATTATATATCAAAAAATGGCAAATCAGATTGAGTTGAAATTGATAAATAATAGCATCTAAAATTGGTAATTATGAATAATTATGTTATGATGGAGATGTTTTCAATTTCAAACTAAATGTAGATTGATATTTTGAAAGTGATTACAGTAAAAAATTCTTATTCATTATTTCGATTCATATAAGATTTTTTTAAATTTAAATTATATTTTATACTTTACTCTCTACTAAACACATCGGCTCGATAGTTCCATCCCTTATTTAACTTTATCTGGGTTACAAGGTTTGTTGGTAACCTTGATAAAAAAATCGGCATAATTATATGGAGGATGGACCTTCATATAATTCAATTACTTTCACTTTGAACAGGTCTATGACCAACGTGAAAAATAAGAATGAAAATTACGATTAACTATCATATTTGCAACTTGAAATGTACTATATAATATACTATATTTATAATGAATATATATTTAATTTATAATATTTTTAAAAAAAATTTAACAAAATTGAAAAGTGTTATGTGAATCCATAATTAATGAAAATCGAATGTTTAGTTATAACTTTATTTTCTAAATGATATCTAGAGCATCCTTTTTTTTTATTCAATACTAATTAAATGACGAGCAGACACTGGATATACTATATTTATAATGAATATATATTTAATTTATATAATTTTTTAAAAAAATTTAACAAAATTGAAAAGTGTTATGTGAAGCCATAATTAATGAAAATCGAATGTTTAGTTATAACTTTTATTATTTTCTAAATGATATCTAGAGCATCCTTTTTTTTTATTCAATACTAATTAGATGACGAGCAGACACTGGAAAAATAAGGAGTCAGATGACACATAGACATTACTATAAAAGCTATATATTATATAAATTGGCATCGGTAGCTCAGTTCATAAAAAAAAACCATTAGAGTTAAAAAGATGAAATCATGTTTTTCAATATTATATTTAAAATAAATTTAATGTTAATGTGGGGCATATATGAATTAAATAACAAAATATCTTCCCAAAGATTAATTTAAACGAAACGTTCAGCACAATAGTTAGTTTAAATAGTAAATTTGGCTTCTTCCTTCTTAAAGTTAATTTTTTTTTCAAAAGAAATTTTAAAAAAAATTACGGTTATGGCTTCTAAGCATTTGAGTAAATGATGGTGTTGCATTTTGAGCAAATCTGGTTTAGATATGGAGGACATTATCACACCCTCGGCAGCTGTATTCGAAATGAGTTTTTCTAAGTTATGCTTTTGTTGGAGGAGCGAAGCTTTAGCAGCATTCTTGACGATATGAATTCTTGCTAAGCGTGCATTCTATTAAAAATACAATTTAAAAGATTAATATCGGAGGTGGTTAAGTTAATTTTTACATATTATTATATATTCATTCCTATCCTTATTCCTTTCTTCCTTCCTTCCTTCCTTCCTTCCTTCCTTCCTTCCTTCCTTCCTTCCTTCCTTCCTTCCTTCCTTCCTTCCTTCCTTCCTTCCTTCCTTCCTTCCTTCCTTCCTTCCTTCCTTCCTTCCTTCCTTCCTTCCTTCCTTCCTTCCTTCTATTTCATTCAAATAATTAAGATTTTAAAAATATTTTATAAAATTGTTTTATAAAATATAAAATTATAAAAAAAATTTTTGATTTGAACATCCTTTTTTCCTAGATTTTTATTAAATAAAAATTTCTTTTTATAAATCAAAAAATAAAAAAATTAAAACTTTTTTAGTATCTGAAAAAAAAAATCATCCTCAAAGAAAATTCTACGATAAATATAATATTTTTATAAAAATAAATCTTTTTATTTATTGATTTTTTCCGTGTGTATAAAAAGCTAAAGAATCCAGAAACATTTTATTGTTTCGAAAATTAGAAAGAAAAAAAGAAAAATTGTTTGAAATATATCACTAAGTTTTAACGAAAATAAAATTAAAAAAATATTAGTGAGTAATGGTGAAAACGAAAAACCGATATTTTTATTTGGTCAGTAATTTTTGAAGAAAGGAAGCAAACAAACTCTAAGTAAGCTTCCCTATATCAATCGGTGCTGATTCAATACTAGGCTATTACTAAGACCAAGTGTTTACCAAATGCTATGATAAAATTCATCTCAATTTTTACCGCAATTCCATGTTTATTATTGTAAATGCAATTTTTCTTTCTCTTCTTTTTTTTTTGTTTACTTTTATTTATAAAATTATAGGTAGCACAACCCTTTCAGTTCTTGTAACACTTTAGTGGAGTCTGACAGACCCCAATTTAAATTTGATACATTTCCATTTCTATTATTTATTTTTTATTGTGACATTTCATATATCAAACCTTACACACTAAAACATTTATCTATTTTAAATTTAATTTATTTTGAATACATAGTGAAACTATTAATAATAAATAAATAAATAAGTAATATAAAATTTAAAATAATTGTTTATAAATTGTAAACTAAACTAAGTAGCCTAAAATTTTGTTAAATTATACAAATCAAACTGGTTGCTTTAAGATTTAAATATTTGTTATGTCATTAGGTATGGTCTCCTCTGTAACAACCTTATCTTCACATCTGGTGTGGTTATTGTATTTATAATTTAATAACCTTTCATTTCTCCTTGCTTTTGGGGAAACGGATAAGATCAGATTTACATCCAAAGTCCATGTTATATTTTTCCATGCAAATCAAATCCAACATGCTTTTAATATATTTTTTATTTCATCAATTTCCTCCGACAACATTTTCGATTGTCAGAACTAATATTCCATTTTAATGTTTACTTAAATTATTTTAAATAACATACATTGTTTAAATTTTTTAAGCCGCCAGCCCATTTTTAATTTTTTTTAGCCCGTCCGCCCACTTAGATGCGCGGGCTTGAGCGAACAGGCCAAAACCCACCCATTTCAGTCCTCTAGTTTGAAATATTGATTTCTAAATAAAATTTGTTATATAATTCAAAAAAAAACCGGTAATATTATAAAAAGTCTTAAAGTGGCGTTAGGAAAATATGAAAATTATTTAAATTATTCGAAAAATTAGTTTTATTTGATTAGAATCAAATAATCGTGCATTCTTATTCCAAAAAACGAATAATTAATTATTCGATTCTATTCAAATTATTTAAAATAAATCAAATATTCATTTCTTTCTGAATAGTCCTACCAAATATTAAATACAAAAAAAAATTAGAGATATTAAAATTAAAACCGAGATACTGGATAAAGTTAATGTTTGTTTTTTAAAATAAAATCGAAATTTGTTTTCTTCAAAAGCTTCTGCAGATCCATTTTAAATTTGTATAGTGTATTGTAAATTTTGTCGCTTCAAATATAATGGGGCCCATCTCAAATTTTAACCAATAAAAAAATTTCCTCGCTTTGGAGATTAGTACCTTTCTTTTATTTTTCTAGAGGAATTCAAATATACATTAATTCATTAACTTTCATTTTTTTATCTTCCCTCCCATTCTATTTTTTAATATTATTTTTAATTCCTTTCCATTCCCTTTTATTCTTTTTCCTTTCCCTGTCTCTTTTTTTTATAGATTTTTATATTTTTTACTTTTCTAAAAGAAAATGAAAAAATTATCAAATTACTAAGAGAAAATTGATTATTCGATTTAAATTAATTAAAAGAAACATTTTCTTTTTATATTTGTTTTTGAAAAAAAAAATTTACGTCAAAAAAAAGCGAAAATAATTAATTTTTATATATTTTATTTTTATTATAATATTAGATTTCTCCTTTTATTTGAAGTAATTTGAGTCGTCCTATCTTTTGAATTTTAAGTAAATTTATCATGTTTCGGTATATTTTTCTTTTATTCACCATCTTAGATATTTTTTGGAATTAAATATGCAACCTCATAATTTTGTGAACTGGAATAGAGTAATAATTTTGGGAATTTAAACTAGAGACGGGCGCTGGCCTAATTTTTTATACACAGCCCGCGCCAACTCACGGTTGCCATCAAAAAATTCACGACCTTTCACACTTACTACTAAAAAAAGTTTGACCCAACCCACCCGCTCACGAGAGATAATATTTTGATCACGTCCATCACGCCTGAGAATTCACGGTTTTTTAAAATTTTTCAAAAGTTTTTATTTCTCTAATTCCATATTAATAACACAAAATAATTACAATTTATAAATCAAAATGACTAATTTTTTTTAAAAAAAAGAAGAATGTTTTTTTATTTAAATGTGTTCGCCTTTCTAATAAGCGATTGGCTATGGAAAATAACTTATCACTAGGAGCCCTTGTTGGGGCTGATAAAATTTTACTCGCTAATTTCCTCAAAAAGGGAAATGTTTCCTGCATCCAAAAATTCAAAATATTATCATTTCTATTTGTTTTATGAGCCATGAATTTTTTAAGTTCATCCTGACAACTTTCATCGGTAGAGGTTGATGCTTCATCAGAATTATATAGAAATTCTCTAAATGTTTCATTTAAAACAGATTTGTGCATTTAACCGGCCAAATATGATTCGGTCAATTAGCCAATATTTGACGGGTCAAATATGGTCAAATTACAAATAAATGTTTTTTAAGACAATATTAACTTTATTTAATTAGTGGTAAAAAATGATCTATGTAATATTAAATTATAATTTTTTTAAATTCTATAATTAATACTTCGTTCTCCATGGCAGAGTTTTTCGGATTTATATTCAATATTATCTTTTTCTTTAATATTTTATCTGGGTGTCCTGATCTTCAATCTATTGCTTTTCTTCGTATGAATATTACCCCAAACCGACCAATTTCTTTCTAAAGAAGAAGTATAACTAAGAACTGTTAGTAAGATATTAGACCCTTCTCTTAATGCTCAAGGTAAGCAAAGCATTATTGCTTTCCACGTATTTTGGCTATTAAGTATATCGTCGCTTTTACTTCTGAAATTTATGATATCATTTAAAAATATTATGAATATCATCACCTTAAAATGCTTATTATATAACATGCTTTAAACTCAATACTAGTAGATGCTCGCCTTATATTGCGGATCCAATAAATAATCAGCTAAAAATCATGGCATGATTGAATTGTTTTCCAAATTAAGCATCTCGTTTTTTAAGTGAGATGAAATACATTTATCCCTTCACACTTACAACATTAAGATAGCTAAATGTTAGAATAGTTTAAAATTTTAAATTTTTCGTCCAAAATATTTCTTCATTTAATAATTATTGGTAATTATTTCGGAACAAATATCCAACTTCTTCAATAGCAGCTTACGGAGCTGTCATGCATATTTCTATTTGCTCTTTACATTTTTGACGATGCCCATCTTGTTTGGATAATTGTACATAATGTAATGTAAATCAGCATAGTAATTTTCTCAAGCCATGCTGAAAAATTATTTTATTTATTTATATATTGAATGAGAAAAATTCTTTTATTTTATATTTTAAAATGAAATTTTGAAAAACTTATATTTTAATATAAAATTATAACTAAATCGATACCTAGATGATGCAAATATATTTTAAAATAAATTATAACCTAATTAGATTGATAAACAAGCTATTAGTTAATTAAATAAATATATTTATTCACCAATAATATTTTAAAGTATTTGACCGTATTTGACCAGGTCAAATGCTCCTTCGGTCAATTGACCATCTGACCATAATTTAGAATATACGGTTTTTATGTGTGTAGGGTGAATTACAAAAGTTATAAATGATAGTTGACCCAGACTTATGCATATTATCTAATTTTATATCATTTAGCATTTTTAAGGTTGTTTTATATATATCTTTCTTTTCTACGTCTATTAACTTAAGTTCGGATCTAGAATTAAGCCTACCTTATGTAATGGCTGCATAATAAATCTTTCCTTTAAAAAAAATGTTGTCCTGTTGTATCACCTTCAGAAGGTTTAACAAAATTTTACTAATTTTTGTTTCCATAGATAAACTTCGTATATTATGGGACAAGAATCTGCTGAGATTATCTGAGCATTCTTTTAATATTGATAAAAATTTTAGTCAAGATAAATGAAAATATTTAAATTAAATTTATTTATTACCAAAATTTCCATCACTGAACGAGAGTTAAGAGATCTATTATTTTTCATTCAATTAAAATTTTATAAGATGGGGGAAAAAAATGTTGTTTATAAAATGCGGAAATTTTTTTTTGTTTCCAAAAATTATTGTTTTTTTCAAAAAGAACTAATTATATAATTGCAAATTTATATTCATAAAAAACAATTTTAAAAATTAAAATTTCCGTGATTCACATGGAAATTTATGTTCACGCCCAATTACGCCAGGCAAAATTATGGAGAAGGCTCGTCACGCCCAATCATGCCTAT